GTCTTGTTGCAAACCTTTGCACTTTCTCTAGTTTCTTATATGCTGGGTAGGGTGGGTTCCAAATGGTGCCCATATATGGGCTCAATGTAACAGTGTACAGGGTTTTGAACGATTCTTTATTAAGATTTGGGGAATGCTGTTTTAGGTTTGCTAGGCCCATATGCTGCAGCAGTTATTTGGTTAGTGTTGCCTCAGGAGATGTGCTGGTGTTTTACTACCACGGATCTTTTTCTTGAGTGAGGTTTGAGTCTTTGGCCCCCTAGACTGTATTCTGTCTACGTCTTCTTTGCCTTCCCAAAATTAGGACTTTGCACTTGGGGGGTGAAATCGGAAGTTTTGTGAACCAGGCTGCAGCAGTCAGATCCTTTGTAGTTCTGCCTGGGCGTACGATTGAAATTCTTCTCAAATTAATATCTGCAAACAGGGGGGAGTTCTGGCCCGTTGTAAAATTAAAAGGAAACGCACCCGGTCCTAGGACTGAGCCAAGGGCCACACGACACCTTGCCACATACCTAGATCGGCTGCTTCTGACAGGTATATTCCTGTTCCATTGTAGTGCCTTCCTGTTATCTGCCTGTCTCAATTTTTGCACTAATTTCTTGTGTGGAAACGTGTCAAAATACCTTTTACAGTCCAAGAAAATGTGTGTATGTGTTGTAATTTCTAATTGTATTGCAGGGTGATTATACGTATTACTTATAATATATAAAATGTAATATATATATATATATAATATATATTTATATATATATATATATATATATATTATTATATTATATTATAAGTTAATTTCTTTCAACGTACGCCGATATCCACTGAGGTGGGGTGGCCAAAGAAAAACTGAAGTTTTCCTTTTAAATTAGTAATATAAAACACTCATACGAAAGCAAAGATTTGCAGGATCCCACCCCCAAGAAAAGCAGGGGTGTACTAGCACTGTTAGGACCTAAATAAGTTAGCAGGAGGAGACTGTTCACTGCTCCGCATACATTAAGGGGGTTTAAACAGTCCCTGGAGTCTTCTGGCAACTGGAGACAAGCACCTAAAGTGGTTCCACAGCGGAGCTGTGGCTCAGTGTTGTTTGCGCGCAGCCAGCAGTAACAGCCTGGTTTCAGGCTCTGATCCACAGGAGGCTGTCAATGACGGGCTGTGGGGGCGTTGACCTAAATTTCACAGGTATCTCCAAGGATAATAACAAGAAAAGGTGATGAAAGTTGATTCTTTGGAGGGAGATGAGGGGTGAACTATTTCAGAATTTGAGTGTACGTGTGCGGATGGGTTATAAAGATGAGTGAAATATAATTGATAGTAAAAAATATATGGATGCATTAGACTGTGGAGACAATATAACTTTATCTTGATATAATAGGGGAATGTATGATAGTATAGATTTTTACCAAGTATTATATGGTTGAATATATATATGTGTATGTATCGTTATGGAAATGTTGTGGAGAAAGGTCTGGAGGCAAAATTTTCATGTCTATATGGCAAGTGTGGTGTGAATTTAATGCAAGAATTCGTAAGTTTGATTTGGGAGGTGCGGGATTACAACTGTATTGTCCAGAGGGTTGAGGAAGGGTTGTTGATGGATTTTTGACATTAAAAGCAAGAGCAACTGAATGACTCAAGAGTGAAAATCTGTTTGTATGGATAGGCCATAGGTTTGAACCTAGAAAAGATAGGATGGGTTTATGAGGTTTAGTGTGCAAGGCTTGAATTCCAACAGCATGCGTGAGGGTTTGATAGGAGTGAATGTGAGTACAAATGGTTTTTTAATTATTTGACAGTCCTTTGGAGTGTGACAAAGTTTAAAATTTATGAAGATTCAGGAAAACTTACGGTATTTTAATCGGATAAGGGAAAGTTAGTGCCAGACTTATGAAGGAGGGTGTTTATTGTTCAGTTTTAACTTAGGTTAAGCACACTTCTGGCAATATAGTGATAGAATAATATGGTGAAATTTTATTTTTTAGGACTCTATTGGTATGGGAATGGCCAGTGTGATAATACAATAAAACCAATAATTACCTTAAAAATATATAATTATATTATATTTATTTATGTAATTATATTCGTATATATATGGTATAAAATAGTATAATATATATTAATATATTATATAGTATATACACGTCGTATAATATCTTATATTACACGTACTTGGGGTAAAATATTATTGATATATATATATATATATAATATATATATATACACATGTATATATAATATATATACACATGTATTATATATATATATATAATATATATATATATATAATTATATATATATATATAATATATATATATATATATATATATATATCATAACACATCGCAGTCTCATTACAAGCAGGAAGACCTGAAAAAGAAAAACTTTCACCATCATTCACTCCATCACTGTCTTGCCAGAGTTGCACTTCCACTACAGTTACAAAACTGCAACATTAGCACCCCTCCTTCAGAGTGCAGGCACTGTACTTCCCTTCTCCAGGACTCAAGTCCAACCTGCTGGTTTCCCTGAATCCCTTCATAAATGTTACCCTGCTAACACTCCAACAGCACGTCAAGTCCTAAAAACCATTTGCCTCCATTTGTTCCTATCTAACACGCTCACACATGCTGGAAATCAAAGCCCCTCTCACACAAAACCTCTTTTACCCTATCCCTCAAATCTTTCCTAGGCCTGACCCCTACCCCACCTTCCCTCCACTACAGATTTATACACTCTTGAAGTCATTCTGTTTTGTTCCATTCTCTCTGCATGTCCAAACTACCTCAACAACCCCTCCTCAGCCCTCTGGATAATAGTTTTCGTAATCCCGCACCTCCTCCTAATTTCCAAGCTACGAATTCTCTGCATTACATTTATGCCACACATTGCCCTCAGACATGATATCTCCACTGCCTCCAACTTTCTCCTTGTTGCAACGTTCACCACCCATGCTTCACACCCATATACAAGCATTGGTATAACTATATTGTCATACATTCCCCTCTTTGCTTCCATGGACAAAGTTATTTGTCTCCACAGACTCCTAAGTGCATCACTCACCTTTTTTGCCTTTGTCAGTTCTGTGATTCACCTCATCTTTCATAGACTCATCTGCTGATATGTCTACCCCTAAATATCTGAATACAAGCCCAAGACTTAAACTGCCTCCCAGCATACATAAGGGGGATCACCATTAGATCCCTGGCTGTCTTTAAGAAGGCAATGGACAGGCACCTAAAGTCACTACCTGACCAGCTGGACTGTGGTTTGTACGCCAGTTTGCATGCGGCCAGCAGTAACAGACTGGTTAATCATACTCTCATCCACCACAAGGCCTGGTCTCAGACCAGGCTTCAGGGGCATTGACCTTTGAAACCCTCTCCAGGTATACTTCAGGTATTTTCTTTGGATTGGGTTTGATTAACCCCATTCCCCAGATGCTGTATAACCCCTATGGGTTTAGTGCTTCCTAAGAAAATAAATCTTATCTTGGATTTTGCCATACATGTAGTACAAATCTATACTTGAGTGTATGACCCATATGGGTTTAGTGCATGTAGTGAATGTATATTATACTCGTTTGAATTTATGTATACCTGGAGTATACCTAAAGGATGTTCTGGGGATCAACGCCCCATGGTCTGGTCCATGACCAGGCCTCGCAGTGGATTGGCCTGATCAACCTAGCTGTTACTACTTGACGCACATAAACTGACGTACAAATCACAGCCCAGCTGGTCAGGTACTGACTTTAGGTGCCTGTCCAGCTCCCTCTTGAAAACAGCCAGGGGTCTATTGGTAACCTCCCTTATGTATGCTGGGAGGAAGTTAAACAGTCTTGGGGCCCCTGACACTTACTGTGTTGTCTCTTAGTGTACTCATGGTACCCCTGCTTTTCATTTTGGAATGTTGCACAGCCCACCGAGTCTTTTGCGTGATTTCCATGTGCAGATTTGGGACTAGTGCTGAGTTAGCTGCTGCTGCTTTCCCCACAAGTTCATTCCTGGCTAAATAATTTTTTCTTTAATATTTTTGAATGATTTTGTAGTGACAAAAGTAATACAATATGATAGAGCAATTAATTCGTACATAAGAACATAAGAATGGAGGAACACTGCAGCAGGCCTGTTGGCCCATACTAGGCAGGTCCTTCACAATTCATCCCACTAACTATCTGTGTCCTGATTCTGGTCCCAACTTGAAATCTATGAAAAGAAGCTTTTCTTCAGGTTATTATTCCAGTTAGCCTATACATCCAGGATAACCCAAGAAAGCCATGCATTGTGGCTTATTTCCACTGGCACTTTCAACAGTCAACTAGCACCTAGGTACTGTACCTATTTACTGTAGGGTAAATAATCACAACTGGTTTAAAAGGCTTACTCATGCATCTCTCATCTTGGGACTGAGCATGGGTTCTTTTGGTTGTGAACCAAACACACTGCCACTGAATTCAACACCTCTTGAGTATCATAAGCATTGTGCACCCCTTGCTCCTGTTGTGATTTTGATCATGCACCCTTTGCTCCTGTTGTGAATTTAATCATGTACCCTTTGCTCCTGTTGTGAATTTAATCATGTATCCTTTGTTCCTGTTGTGAATTTAATCATATAGCCTTTGTTCCTGTTATGAATCTAATCATGTATCCTTTGTTCCTTTTGTGAATTTAATCATGTATCCTTTGTTCTTGTTGTGATGATTCTCTTCAGACACATCCTTATAATTCAGGTACTTACTATCAGGAATTCAGCTGGTAGAAAATATCTTGACACATTAAATGTGCTGCTGACAACATTATGAAGTTGACCTGTGAGGTAAGTTCAGTGTTATGTCTATCTACAAGTCCTTGTTCTTTTTAGACACTTGCAGTTGGCTCTCCTTAAATTAATATTGCTTGTTCCCTTTCTCCTCCCATCTTCATTGTATTTTGCCTTTCAGGGTTTAAACTCAAGCAGCCATCTATTGGACTATTCTTGCACTTCTATATATGTGTTTTGACTTCCAGATAAAAATGAGTGTCTGTTACGAAATGGTCATGGCCCCTGCCAGGACACCTGCCACAATACTGAGGGTGGCTACTACTGCACGTGTGATAATTTACCGGGTAAGCAAAAGTGATAATTTAGTGGATAAGCAAATGTGATAATTTACCAGGTAAGCCAAAGGGATAATTTACCAGGTAAGCAAAAGGGATAATTTACCAGGTAAGCAAATGGGATAATCTACCAAGTAAGCAAAAGTGATAATTTATCAGGTAAGCAAAAAACAAAATCAGGTTCTCTGGTTTAAATAGCTGCTAAAACATCATCAAATGTTTGAGGTATATTATAATGTATTAAAAAACTGATAAGGTGTGATATACCTGCGATTGGTTTTAAGATTTTTCCTACTCGCAGCCTGGCATGACCTGGAGTCAGGCCTCTGTTCAGATTGCCTGATCAACCAGGCTGCTCTTCTCGGCGGCAGCCAGTTGGCCCACATACCCATCACAGTCTGTTTGATCTGGCACTCTGTGGAGGTAGTGATCCATTTCCTATTGAAAGTTTCTGCACTTGTTTTGGCAATATTTCTGATATCGGCTGGTAGTTAGTTGGATACTAGAGGATCACAGATATTGAAAGTGATTTCTTACCATGCTCATGGCTGCCCTGCTTTTCACTTGGTCTCGCTACAGTGCATTACAACAGTGAGTTGGCTTGGGACTAGGCCCCTCAAGTATCTTCCATACATTAGCAGGTATTGCATTTACTCATTCCAGAGAGTACAGTTCCAATTCTTTTATGCATTTCCAGTAAAACAATAAGAGCATAACAGATAATAATTATGCAACAGTTATAGTTTGCTAAGTTAATGTAATAGAAAACAATTATCATTATGGTTTCATTGCTTTGAATTTTAACTCACAGTGTACAAGGTTAGTTATGTTTATGCTCTACTGCTAATAATATCTGTCGTGTGGGGTTCGGTAGGAGATTGATGGATAAGGTAAACTCACTTGTTGGATGGTAATGCTATATTGTCAGACTGTGGTAATGGGAGATGGAGCCCAGCCTGCCGTGTTCTGCCTTCTTCTATGCCTATGCGTCGACTGAGAGCGGGGCAGCTCGTCTCACTCGCTCGCTGCATCCCGTGACGTCATACAGTCACAGGCCTAAGGGATCTTCTATATAAACACATGGATGGTACTATGATACTCAGCTAATCTATATAACACATATAATGGAGGATCAGCAACTATGCTGACATATCCATACAGTCACATGAAAAATTATTGTTAAAACTTCATTAGCAATTTCTAGTAAATCATAATAAAATGTAAGCATATTGAGTAATATGCACAGGAAAGATTGCATTTTTTAATTTCATAGCCATTATGATGGCCTACTTGCATTCTTTGTACATGTGTCACTTTGTTTTATATATAGTGGAACCTCGGTTTTCGTCATTAATTCGTTTCAGAAAGTCTGACGAAAACCGAATTCAACGAAAACTGAAGCAATATTTCCCATAAGAAATAATGTAAATCCAATTAATCTGTTCCAGACACTCAAAAGTATTAACAAAAATTACATTTTATAGAAAATAACTATACAGTACCAATATATATTATCAGTGAGAAGAAACTGGATGTCTAGCACTGAGTGAAACAAAATTTGAAATGTTTAAAGGCATTCAAATCAGAAAAAGTTGGTTGTATTATTTGAAAAAGTGAGAGCTAAGGAAAGTGTGGCAGTATTGGTGAGTTTACAGCTGTTAGAAAAAAAAAGCAGGAGTACAAATGCTTGAATTTTAAGACTTATCACTGCAAATAGAAATGAGAGAGTGTTGGTAATTTTTATTGTTTGTGCATTGATATGCGAGGAGGAGGAGGAGGTTGTAGCAAGTCCACAACCACTGGAAGTTAAAAATATACCATTTATAGAAATTATACACAGAAGGGACACTATGAACATAGCTCTGCTCCTGTAGCTACAAATAAGTAATCACATGCCCACATTGGTTCCTTGGCTGCTCATGTTCCATTACCTGTTGCATGCACTCTTGAGTTTTTTCATACACTCCTCTCCATCTTCCTTCCTTGAATGTGTCCACTGCACACTGATCTTCATAACATTAATGTAAATATTCCACAAACAATTGGTAAAGGATTTTAAGTGTCACCCACGCTGAAAATTACATGTTTTCACCAAACATTATCTTTTTATTGCACTTGCTTGTGAAATAACATGGATAATATTGATAACACAAAAATAAATTCATTACCTCATTTTTGTTCCTTATGTATTATTTTACATGTACAGTGGTACCTCGGGATACGAATTTGAACAATTATGTAAGTGTATTTTTGGGGGTCTGAAACAGATTAATCTACTTTACATTATTCTTTATGGGAAAAATTCGTTCAGTACTCAAACAGATCAGCACATGAACAGCCTTCTGGAATGAGTTAGATTCATGTCCCAAGGTACCACTGTATTTATTTCTAATTTACAATACATTCATGTTTGTTTTTCTCCATTGGTACTTGGGTCATAGAATATTTAAAAAATAAATGAATCCATTACAAAAAATTGTTCAATCTTATGCATAAAATAAACTAATGTGCTGAAAACTTGTAATGAATGAATGTACAGTAATAATTTCATGGAGTGATCAGTAGTCAAACTCTCAGCTGCAGACTGCCAGCCTGTTGCCTTTGTCACTGTGGTTTTACAGTGGTGTGGTAATAATGTATAGTACTAATGTTTGTTGCATCTGCCAGGCTAATCCCCACATTAACGAGTTTTACCTATTACAGGGACACACTTGGGTGTTGACAATCATACCTGTGAAGATGAGGATGAGTGTGCTATCAACAATGGTGGCTGCTCTCACACCTGTCTTAACACCTTTGGTCAAATTTTCTGTACTTGTCCTGAGGGATTTGTCATGGCTATGGACTGGAAGACTTGTGATGGTGAAGCTCGCTTCTTATTTTGTATTGTTAATTATTGAAAGTGAATTAATGATCAGTTTTTTATCTGTATTCAAGAAATTATGAAAATATTATTGTGGTATATGTATATAAAATATGTTAGTATTCTTTTATGTTTACTGTTTATTTTATAAATATACCCTGGCGTATATTGGTAACAGATATCAATGAGTGTGAGTATGAAGACGTAGCAAGTAAATGTGCTTATGGCTGCATCAACACTCAAGGCAGCTACCATTGTGCTGATGCTGATGAACTTGTACAAACTCTACAGTGTCCTCCTGGTCTCATGTCCACTGAGGATGGCCGGAGCTGCAAGGGTCAGTAATCATTCATTCCTTTTTTCTCTTTTTCACTCTACATATCTCCTTTTATTTTCCATCTTCAGAATTTGCCTTGTTATTATCACACTTTTCTGCCTCCTTACATTTTTTTTCATCGTCCTGTAACCATCACTAAGCACTAAGATTCTTGACAGTAAGCTTGTATTTCTTGCATATTACTAACTTGCCTTTTTTTTTTTCTGTATCCTCATCCTCGGCTTTTGCAGTTTGTCTTTTTCATGGATGCGATATGTTTTTTAACTCCTATCTTTCATGCCTAGACTAAACATTTATCATTCACCCTTGTAGGCATTAACTTTCTATCATTACTTTTTTATTCATCTCCATTCTGCATCCTTGCTCACCCATTTTATTTACTAATTTATTTTGCCCCTATCTTTAATTTTTTTCTAGTTAACCTTCATTTTTCATTATCTTGCATTGCCTCATCTTTCACTCTACACCTCTATCACTACATCTTTCACACTTTATCTTCCTCTTTCACTAATTCTTCGGTCTTTACTTTTTTTCCTTAATTTCTTCACTTCTCACTCTTCATTGATTCTCTGTATTGGTGTCATAAAGCTAGTAAATTATGAGTAATACTGTATTGAGCTGATTACCTGTGTACAATAATCATTGAATGATCTTAATGGTCATTAATTAAATACCTAGGTCTTCTACTCTTTCTTATTTACATCAGTGACCTCCTAAATACATCGCGACTCCTTAAACCAGTTCTTTTCGCAGATGACACCATTTACGTCTTCTCTCACCCAAACCCGGCTATACTTAGTAACACTGTAAACAGCAAGCTACATAAAATATCAAACTGGATGACGACCAACAAACTGACTCTCAATATAGACAAAACTTACTTCATGCTTTTTGGAAACAGAGCATTAAATATCAAGCTAAACATATCACTAAATGGTTAACCCATTACAAGACACACTGAGGACAAATTTCTGGATCTTCACCTTGACTGTAATCTTAAATTTCAGACCCACATTCAGCATATAACTAAGAAAGTTTCCAAAATAGTAGGTATCCTTTCCAAGATATGATCCTATGTACCCCAAAGGGCTCTCCTTACTTTATATCACTCTCTTAATATATCCTTACCTCACCTATGGTATTTGTACTTGGGGAGCTACCACAGCCAATCATCTTAATTCTTTAATAACCCAACAAAAAGTGGTGGTGTGGATGATCACAAACTCCTGTGCCAAACAACACACCCCTCTTCAAAAGCTTGAACTTACTTTATATACAGAATACTGTATACATGCTTATTATTGTGCCTACTATATATACAGAACAATAAACTCCAATATCAACCCTCCACTTAAACTTCTTCTAGACAGCTTCACCAGAACACACAGGCATAACATGAGGCACAAAACACTTTTTGACATCTCTCATGTCCGTCTCACACTATGCAAAATTGCAGTGCACATAAAGGGCCCGAAGATCTGGAACTCTTTGCCCGAAACAGCAAGAGGTCCCCTGCCACACAAATCAGTTTAGGACTATGCTAAAAAATTGTCTCATCTCTCAATTACAACCATACCCACACTATGCTAAACTCTTAACAAAATTTAAAGCAACTCTCCCAAATATTTTATTACTCCTAACTATTAAGTCTATGGAGGCAAAGAAGGGAATGTATGAAAGTATAGTAGTACCAACACTCTTATATGGGTGTGAAGCTTGGGTAATAAATGCAGCAGCGAGGAGGCGGTTGGAGGCAGTGGAGATGTCCTGTCTAAGGGCAATGTGTGGTATAAATATTATGCAGAAAATTCGGAGTGTGGAAATTAGGAGAAGGTGTGGAGTTAATAAAAGTATTAGTCAGAGGGCTGAAGAGGGGTTGTTGAGGTGGTTTGGTCATTTAGAGAGATTGGATCAAAGTAGAATGACATGGAGAGCATTTAAATCTGTAGGGGAAGGAAGGCGGTGTAGCGGTCGTCCTCGAAAAGGTTGGAAGGAAGGGGTAAGGGGCTTGGACTTCCAGCAGGCATGTGTGAGCGTGTTCATTAGGAGTGAATGGAGACAAATGGTATTTGGGACCTGACGATCTGTTGGAGTGTGAGCAGGGTAATATTTAGTGAAGGAAGTTTGGAGAGATATATTGTGTATTTTTATACGTATACATGTACATGTATATGTACTTCTAAACTGTTGTATTTGGGCACCTCTGCAAAAACAGTTATTATGTGTGAGTGAGGTGAAAGTGTTGAATGATGAAAGTATTTTCTTTTTTGGGGATTTTCTTTCTCTTTGGGTCACCCTGCCTCGGTGGGAGATGGCCGACTTGTTGAAAAAAAAAAAAAAAAATTCAGGGAAACCGGTTATTTTTATATAGCCGGACTTGAGTCCTGGAAATGGGAAGTACAATGCCTACACTCTAAAGGAGGGGTTCGAGATATTGATGGTTTGGAGGGATATGTTGTGTATCTTTATACGTATATGCTTCTAAGCTGTTGTGTTCCGAGCACCTCTGCAAAAACAGTGATTATGTATGAGTGAGGTGAAAGAGTTGAATGATGATGAAAGTAGTATTTTCTTTTTGGGGATTTTCTTTCTTCTTGGGTAACCCTGCCTCGGTGGGAGATGGCCGACTTGTTAAAAAAAAAAAAAAAAAACTATTAAGTCATTATTACAAACTTAATAATGTATGTTTGTATCATAAATTGTACTACCTCATATTAATAGAGTAAAATATTGAATATCTGTAATCTGCCACTCTTCACCTGTCTAGACTTGAGTAGTCTTTAAGTATTAGGTTATGTCTGCCCAAAATGCCTCAGCATCATAGTGGCTTTCTTTGTACCAATCAGATTATGAAGTGTAAACACACATTGTAACCTTAGCAAAGAAATAAAGTTTTGATTTTGATTTTTTATATAAAATTACATTACTGAATTTTTTTTAACACATCATCCATCTCCCACCGAGGTAAGGTGATCCGAAAAAGAGAGGGGTTACTAGCCTTTTGTTCCTGGCATTTTAGTCACTTCTTACAACATGCATGGCTTACAGAGGAAGGGTTCTTCTCCACTTCCCCATTGTAACATTTTTTTATTCCAACAGATGTGGATGAGTGTGAGGATAATAACTTTGGTTGCTCAGACATCTGTGTCAACACCCATGGTCATGCTCACTGTTCCTGCCCCATTGGCTTCAACCTTGCCCTTGACAAAAAGACTTGCCAAGGTTAGTCCTGAGTTATCATCACTACAGTCAGCTCTCTAAAATGGATGTTTCTATGTCCTTAATGTATAAATAATTAAATTATTTTGGCCTTCAGTTTCAACTAGACTATGGTAATATGCAGTGTTTCTTGGACACTGATCCTTGCATGTTAGTATTGTGTTATGGATGATTACAGATTTTATTCTCTACCTTTTTTGCATATTTGTATCACTAGTAGTATTTCCAGTTTGCTTTACAAGGCATAAGACTTCACTGAAAAATAAGAACATTATCTAAATATCTGATGTAAACTAGACATATAAGAAATAAAAATGTCTTACTCTGCAACTATAGTACATTAAAAATCCTACAACTTCAGTAAGTCTGTACTTATGGTGGATAATGTGGTGCAAATATAATGAAAAGAATTTGGAGTGTACCGATTAGCTGGACTTGAGTCCTGAAGATGGGAAGTACAGTGCTCTGAAGGATGGGTGGGGATATTTGCAGTTTTGAAATATAGTATTGGTGCCCCTCTGGCAAGACAGTGATGAAGTGAATGATGGTGAAAGTATTTCTTATTTTTTGGGCCACCCTTCCTTGGTGGGAAATGGCCAGTGTTAAAAAAAAAAAATTGGAATGTAGAAATGACAATGATATGAGATCAAGGATATACTCCAGGAGGGGTTGTTGAGGTGATTTAAGCATGTAGAGAGGATGTAGAGAGAGAGAATGATGAAGAGGGTGTATAAATCTGGGGTGGAGTGTAGGAGGTGAAATTATCTAGGGAACAGTTGGAGAGAGGAGGTAAAGAAAGCTTTGAGTTTCAGAGGCTTGAGCATCCAGCAGGCTTGTACGAGTATTTTAGAAGTGAATGGAGACAAGTGGTCTTAAATAAACGTGTTGTTAGAGTGAAAGCAGATAACATTTATGAAGCAATTCAGGGAAACCAGTTATCCAGACTTGAGTTGTGTAGTCAGAAAAGGTAGCACTTACACTCTGAAGGAGGAGTGGGGATGTGACATTTATGATGTCAGCACACTTCTGGCAATACAGCAGTTAAATGAATGATGGTGAATATGTTAACTTCTTTGGGCCACCCTGCCTTGGTGGGAAATGGCCATTGAGGCAAAAAAAAAAAAAAAAAAAAAAAAAAAAAAGTTCCTGTAGTTACAACGAATTCCAAAATTGTTAAACTAACATTGTTATAATGTAAAATAAATCTTTTATTATGCTACCTGTATCAGTGGTTTTAACTAATAAAGTTATATTTAAAATAAGGAAAATGCACAGTGTTCTTGTTCATTATTGTATGAAGTTTAACATTTGTGCATTACTTGAAATAAAAATTCCTTCATATGTCTGTTTTGATTCATTGTATTGTGGATGGTATCCAAAACAATATTGTATCTTAGTTTATTCCCTACAAATTCATAAAGGTAAAGCAAAGAGTTAAAATTAGAGGAATGGTAAAGCTGCAAATTGTATAATTTATTGCAGTTTAGGCATTTTGTAGGATATTTTTTGTACTTACGATTTGCATGCCTATAAATATACTTTATTGTTTTTAGTACTTTTGAAGTTTTCTTATTGTTTTTTTCCCTTCACATATCTTTAATTAAAGTGTATTGCATTACATATGGTATCCATTATTTATCCTCAGGCTTCTTTTCCAATCTCCTAAGTCATGGACCGGGCCGTGGGGGCGTTGACCCCTAGAGTACCCTCCAGGTAGATAGGTAAAATTCCCAGTGTGTTTAACTGTTCATTGTAGCATTTTTCTTCCTTGTAACAATAGAATGTCTTCTCTGCAACTTTGTGTAGATATTGACGAGTGCTCCAAGGACCATGACTGTTCTCATGGCTGCGACAATACTGATGGATCTTTCAGCTGCACCTGTCCTGATGGTTTCAAGTTAGCACATAATTTAATAACTTGTGTAGGTAAGTATCAGATGTTATTCACTATGTTTATTAATGAAAACTTTCACAATTCTTGGGTTTCCCAGTCCTATTTTGGTTTTGTTAAATATCAAGACTGTACCCTTATTTTAGTTAATGGAATTTCAAAAGTTCTAAAACTCTTACAAATATTTACTTGATATTCATGTTTTGACAGGAAACTGCTGCAGATTTTTTTCATTCATATTTATTCTTGTAGATGGCATGATTCTGTACTATTTCTTACTAATTACAAAAATGTTCTTTGGAAAAATGTTTATGCTGTATGTTTCCCAAATTTTATATTATTTTCTGGGAGAGCCTTATAATTATTGCACCCTATTTATTAGCCTATGCACATTCCAGAAAAAAACACACACATGCTCCCCAACCCATGCATCTCTCCATATCATTCACCTTAAATTTATACTCTACATCTTTAGGATCTTGTAATATAATCCTCTTGTCTATATGATGTTTTATGGAGCTGTACTCACTTCCTTAATCTCCAAACCTCAGTGTTGTATTTGGTAATTTCCTGTAGGGTGAGCATTGCTTCTCTGCACATAAAACTGTTTTTGTGTACTAAGGAAATCATTGAGATTCTTCTTGCTAGAATGAAAGGTTTTTATCACTTTTTTGTTTATTCTTTCCGCTACTAATCCATGGTTTGATAGGCCATGTGTTGTAGAAATTCAAGTGTGGAATTTAGTAGCTAACCATTGATTGTAATTTTTTTTATTTAACACACTGGCCAGCTCCCACCAAGGTAGGGTGACCTGATGAAAAAACACTTCTTTTTTTACATTTAGTAATTTATACAGGAGGAGTTACAGCCCCTTGCTCCTGGCATTTTTGTTGCATGACTTGTGAAAGAAGGATTCTTTCTCCACTTCCCCATGGAGTTGAAAGGAAGTAAATAAGAACAAGAACCATTAAGAAAATAGAAGAAACACAGATGGGTGTGTATACACATACATGTACATGATTGTATAGTGACACCTAAGTGTAAGCGGAGGTAGCAAGATGTACCTGTTATGTATCTTGTATGTTTCAAATCAAATCAAATCAAAACTTTATTTATTTGCTAAGGTTACAGTGTGTTTGCATTTCATAATTTGATTGGTACAAAGAAAGCCACTTTCATACCAAGGCATTTCGGGCAAACTTAACCTAATACACCTACCATCCGACTTATGACCTGCTCGACATATGTCCACTCGACTTACGACCGTGCATCTGGCAGCTGGGCTGGGCCGGCTGATGCACACCGCTGTACAATATTTGACAATACTCGCAGCGGCAAATACGTCATGCAGGCAGCATCAGTTTTAGTAACCCTACCCTATCAGCAGCATCATACTGTATTAACTGTACTAACTGGACAGTAAATTTCACAATGGCCCCTAAGATGAAGTCTGAATCTTGCACTGGAGATTATGGCAAGAAAGGCTCTTACTCTCCAACTCTCTATTTGTTTTCACTGTTGCACATAAACCTGTCTGTATCTGTCTGCCTGTATATCTGTGTCTGTCTGTATCTCTGTGTGCCTGTTTGTCTGTCTACCTGTGTGTCTGTCTTTCTGTCTACCTGTGTGTCTGTCTTTCTGTCTGCTTGTCTGTCTCAGAGCCACTCATTAAGAGTGTAATTGGTCTTGAAGACGTCTTATTAATAATGATAATAACACAATAGTAATCACTGAGGCACATTAAATGTGTATAAAATGTTAATATAGACATTTGGCTTAATCCATCTATGATTTTTTTTCAAAATTATATAATAAACATGCTACATAACATATAACATATAAATTAACAAATATGAGATTTTTTCTGGTCAGCTTGACAGAGTGAACAAAAACCATTCGTGTCTGGGATGGTAACAACAACAACAACAACAACGACGTTTGTTTACAAAACTCGCGAACCTTCTACCCTCTCATTCTCTCTCATTTAATCTTGTTTACTCACCTCTCACTCTACGTTAAGACTACAGATATTTTAAGGTAAGTAATGAGTGGACACGATTGTTATATTATAGTTTAATAATAATATTATTATTCTTCTTTCTTTCAACACACCAGCCATATCCCACCAAGGCAGGGTGGCCCAAAAAGAAAAACGAAAGTTTCTCTTGAAAATTTAGTAATTTATATGGGAGAAGGGGTTACTAGCCCCTTGCTCCCAGCATTTTAGTCGCCTCTTACAACACGCATGGCTTACGGAGGAAGAATTCTGTTCCACTTCCCCATGGAGAAATATTATTATTAGTAGTACATATGTATTATTGTAATAATAATAATTATTATTATTTTTTTTTTTTCAACAAGTCGGCCGTCTCCCACCGAGGCAGGGTGACGAGACGGGCGACTCGGAAGTGGAACAGAATTCTTCCTCCGTAAGCCATGCGTGTTGTAAGAGGCAACTAAAATGCCGGGAGCAAGGGGCTAGTAACCCCTTCTCCCATATAAATTACTAAATTTTCAAGAGAAACTTTCGTTTTTCTTTTTGGGCCACCCTGCCTTTGTGGGATATGGGATATTATTAATATTATTATTAATTTAGGGCACTGGAGCACGGATCCACTGTATAGCACTTTGTCTGGATTTTTTGGGTTATCCTAGGTAATTTATACTATGTATGATAACTTTAGTTACGTGTACCTGTGAGAGAGAGAGAGAGAGAGAGAGAGAGAGAGAGAGAGAGAGAGAGAGAGAGAGAGAGAGAGAGAGAGAATACAGAGAGAGAGACAGCCACATTCAGTCAGCCAGCCAGTCAGCCAACCAACCAACCACCTACCCACCCACCCGGTCACCCACCCACCCACCCACCCACCCACCCGGCCACCCACCCGGCCACCCACCCGGATACGCATTACACATGTTCCAGAGTTGTTTCTCTTTACTTAGGGTATAGGTTATACTACATTCTGGCAGGATGACGCTACCAGTGGTATTCTCCCATTCCACTGTGTCAACAATACATAAAGATAACAGTAACATATGATACTGTATGCGATGTAAAATTTATAATACAGTTCACTACCATGTATACATTATATACAGTATGTAAATAATTAAAATATAACAATAGAAGTAAATTATGGTAAAAAGAATGAAATAATGGTTGTACATTACAGTACTATGTAGGTAGCTTATATAGGAAAGGTTTGACGTTATGCCCTACCCAGTATGTCGGCAATTTTCAAAGGTTCGACTTACGTCCATTTTGACTTACGACCGGTTGGTCGGAACCAAGCTTGGTCGTAAGTCAGATGGTAGGTGTACTTAGACTATAGACTACTTAAATCTAGACAGGTAAAGAGTGGTAGATTACAAATACAGTGGTACCTCTGTATACGTCCACTTTGGAATAAGTCCAACTTGGTATATGTCCTGTGTGGACTCGAAAATTTTTGCTTGGTATACGACCTTTGTTTGGAATATGACTCACGTGCTAGAACTTGTATGGGTCAAAATGAGTCATGACACCGCGTGCTACCCTTGTTTACTTCTCTCTCGAGACAAAGCCATGACTGCCCACTAGCATCATTATGCTCGTTGCTACCATTCAGTGAACAACCCACTCTATAACTGTGAATTTTCATGTGATTGTGTGTTTTTTCATATAAATTTTTAGTAAATTCATTAACCATGAGTTCTAAGAAAGTTAATGAGAAGAGCCAAGCAACAAAGAAAATGGTTAGGATCATCATCATGGAGGTGCAAGAAGAGATTGTTGAAAAGTATGAAGGTGGCATGAGTATCCAGGACTTGGCTGCTGCATACTGTATGCTGAGAACAACAGTATCTGCGATTGTGAAAAACAAAGATATTATTAAATCAGCTAACATTGTGAAGGGGGTGAAATCAATTACCAAACAAAGATCAGGGACATTAGAGCATGTTGAAAAATTGCTTTTGATCTGGATAACAGAAAAACAGTGTGCCGGCGATACCGTATCAGAGGCAATGATTTGCAAAAAGGCAAAACTGATGTATGCCAATCAGGAACGCGAGAAGGAGCACAAGAGTAAGATGGATGCACTCTCTTCAGGCTTGGATGGACATCAAAAACTTTTGCAGAGCAGTACCACCCCAACGAAGCCCAAACAAGCTGTATTAACATTGTCTGGAATGACCAGACAGTCACATTTCCGAAACATCCTGAGGAGAAGGCAGAAGCAAAGTTCTTTGGACAGATTTTAAGTAAAAGTCAAACTTAGTGAGCTTCAGCCAGGTCCAGATAGAGAAAAGAGAAGGGGATTCTCCTTCCAAGCAATAACAGTTCCTCCTCCTCTTCCTCCTCCTCCTCCCTTCTCAGCACTATCCTAGTAGGCACCTGACTCTTTTCAGCAAAGTAAAGTGAGGTTAAATTTGCATTTATTTCATCAAATTCTTTTGTATTTATGTATGTATTTTAGTATTAAGCGGTGTTTAAATTACATATTTTAGTATTAAGCAGTGTTTAAATTATTTTATAGAACCCCATCAATATATACTGTAATATGCCAATAGCAATAGAATTTTTTCATGGGAACGGATTAATTGTTTTCCTTATATTTCTTATGGGAAAATTTGTTTGGTGTACATCCTGTTTGGTATAAGTCCAAGGTCCTGGAACGGAATAAGGACATATACCAAGGTACCACTGTATTCAATATTTTGAGACAGAAAGACACCAGCAATCCTACTACTGTGTAAAACAGTTACAGGTTTCTGTTTCATACTTATTTGGGAGGATGGTAGTACCTCCCTGGGTAGTTGCTGTCTACCAACCTTCTTCCTATAAGAAATCCTGCAAAGACTGTTATTTGCAAAGGACATTTTTGTTAGAGGTGTGTGGTAAACTCGTCTTCATGCTGTAAATGCAGGTTGATCTCTTTCCAAGAATTTCTTACTAAACTTCTGCCAGTTTTCCTTTTGTCCTCCTCTAGCATTCTAATGGCTTTATAGTTTCTTTTCTCTGGTAGACCTAAATTCTCTGGCACTGTTTTCTTCTAAATATATTTCCAGCCTTCTTCATCATGTTCCTCCATTCAGTCCTCTGCTTCACTTCATTACAAAAATGCTGGCTCACAAAGTTATAAAAACCAAGTGGTAGGATGGTAAATAGTAACTATTCAGGGAGGTGCTACCTTCTTACCATTAGTAGGAATTGAAATCCTTTTAAAAGTTTTGTATTCTGGTAGGATTGCTGGTCTTTTCTTTGTATTTCTTGAACATGTAAGATTTCAGGTAAACCTTAAAAACATCTGTTTATAATCAGTATACACTTATCTTTATGTTCCTGTGTTTCTTGATGATTCTTTTTATTTCTGTAACATTGTCTTTCCAATTTAGGAGGCATAGTCAGCTTAATCTCTGTCCCTTAATATTTACAAGAAATCTCTAAATTGTTTTCTATATAATTTTATGTATAGATATTGATGAGTGCTCTGAGCCCCATGATTGTTCCCATGGATGTGAGAACACTGAGGGATCCTTCACCTGTACCTGTCCTGAGGGTCTTACACTAGCACCAGATCTCATCACTTGCACAGGTATGTAGCATCCCATCCTTTTAACATCCCAACTCCTTAAACCAGTTCTATTCGCAGATGACACTACATATGTCTACTCCCATTCAGACCCAGCTGTACTTAGAAACACTGTAAACAATGAACTGCTAAAGATATATACTTGGATGATGACTAACAAACTCACTCTCAACATAGACAAAACATACTTCATACTGTTTGGCAACAGAGCCTCAGATATCCAACTTAACATATTGTTAAATGGTTCCCCTATATCAAGACACACGGAGGGCAAATTTCAAGGTCTTCTCCTTGACTGTAATCTTAACCCTTTCAGTGTCCGTCCCGTAGATCTACGGCTTCACGTTCAGGGTCCAAACCGTAGATCCACGCCAAAATTCTAGCGGCATCAAATTTAGCGCGAAAAGGCTGGTAGGCCTACATGTGAGAGAACGGGTCTGTGTGGTGTGTGCGCGCACGTGCCGTAAACAAAAATTCTAGGCGCCCGCATAGCATTGTGGGAATGCCGGCTCAGTTACTTTTGTTCACCATGCCTCATCGCAAGGCAGCTCTCACTCCAAGGAAAATTGGGACTCTCCTCTTCCTATCTGATAGTTCTGACTCTGATTGAAGTGGAAATGAAGACGAATTCTTTGGCTCTGATCAGTTAGTGACCGAAAGGAATGACCAGGATATTGATAATAGTGCAGAAAACCCTGACGATCCTCAACCTTCTACCTCTGGTGTGGGCACTCCTCAGTCACGGTCAGTAGTACCTCATCGCAAGAGAAAACTATTATTTTCGCGTGGCCAGGCCTCTGACTTCAGTAATAATGATGGTAGTGACGTAGATTGTGATTTTATTGGTCTTGACGATCATTCGAGTAGTGATAGTGAGGAAACGTATTCACCAGTGAAGCGTCGGTATATACGCCACTGCATGCGCTTGGGTAGTGTTCCCTATGCAGTGCCCAGGGGACGAAGTACATCCTGGAGTACATCCCGTGGCCCTACACCAGGAATAGACAGTGAAAGTGAGGATGATGTGGCTACACTTGGCATGGATAGACCACAGGCATCAGTTGGTGGTGGTAGTGGTGATGGTAGTGCCACGGCCATGCGTGACTCACCAGCCCAGGCTGGGACCCACGCTGCTGACTCCTCAGTTCAAGGACAAAGCGGAGTGTCAGCCACGAGCCCACCACAACTAACCGCACAACCAGCCTATGATGTCCAGTATCCACCAGCAAACTGCATCTGGGATTGGCAGCAAAATCTAAATTTTGTTCCCAAGCCCCACCACTTTGATGACTCTCAAAGTGAAATTCTACCTACTTGTCCCCTTGGAACCATGGCCAATGAACTGGAATTCTTTGACCAGCCCTTGATGGAAACTATTGTCAGGAAAAGTAACAAGTATTTTGAGTACACCATGGCAAATACGATCATATCGCCACAGTCAACACTACACTTGTGGAAAGAGACAACTGTTGCAGAAATGTATTTGCTTTTTGCAGCAATAATGCTTATGCCTCATGTCTATAAGCATAATATAAAAACATACTGGTCCACAGATCGGCTAATTTCTACCCCGGTCTTCAGTGAAATCATCCCAGTGAGCAGGTTTATCTTACTGTTATGTATGTTGCACTTCTCTGACAAAACCAGGCCTGACAGAAGTGACAGGTTATACAAGATTAGAAATGTTTTTATGTATCTGAAACAAAAGTTCAACATGTACTTTTATCCATTCAAGAATCTTGAAATTGACGAGTCTTTGATTTTGTTCAAAGGTAGACTGTCGTTCAAGCAGTATATACCGAGCAAGAGGAAACACTTTGGTATAAAACTGTTTGTACTCTGTGACTGTGACAGTGGCCTGGTATTGGATATTGTTGTATGTTGGATGTAAAACATTGAAAGATACCAGGATGTTACTGGGTATCTCAGGTGACGTAGTGAGAAGTATGATGGCACCTTATCTTCGTAAGGGGCATACATTATATACCGATAACTGGTACACAAGCCCTTTACTCAGTGATTTCTTGCGAGTGAACAAGACAGATGTGTGTGGCACAGTGTGTTCTAATCATAAATATATGCACAGGTTCAACGCAGGTGCTCGTGGTGATGAGGTGCAGGTATTTACTGCCAATGACATCATGGCATTACGGTGGCATGACAAACGAGATGTCACATTGTTGACAACCATTCACAGTAACGAAATGCAAGACAGTGGCAAAGTTGATAGAATGACTAATGAACATATTCGAAAACCAGCGACCGTGATTGATTATGCACAAAACATGGCTTTGTTGATTGTGTTCGTAAGAGTTTCAAGTAGTACATGAAACTTTTCTTCCATCTCATGGACATTTCAATGCTCAATGCATATAATATGTACCAAATGAAGACTGGCAACAGACCACCGTATGGTGAATATTGTTTGTCTGTTGTCAGACAACTCATAATGAAGCACCAGGTAACAACACCTGCTATACAACAAGGTCCTCGAACTCCTCAGGATATACCCAAGCGTTTGAGGAGGGAAGGTGATCATTTCATAATACAGCTTCCTGCAACTAAGAAGAAATTTGCTCAGAAGAGATGTTTGTCTGTGCACAAACAAAACGATGGCAACAAAGACGCAAAGACACTCGGTTTATGTGCGAGAAATGTAAGGTACCGCTGTGCATGGTGCCTTGTTTCAAGGAGTTCCACACATGCCAGCAGTTCTGAAAACATGTCCAGTGATTGTAAATGTGTAAATATATGATAGAACATTAGTATTATACAAGTTTTGTGCATGTTTATTGTAATAAACAAAAGTGGTAAACAATAATATGATAATAACTTCAGTGCAGTTATTGTGTTCAATACAGTGAGTTTATATATATACATTATATACAGTATTGGTCTCTAATTAGTAGGAAAAGAAAAAAATTAGAAAAGAAAAAACTACAAAAGTAAAGTAATGCACGTATGTGGAAATCATCGGTGTTCCCGCCACCCGGTCATTTTGGGTCAACTTCTCGGCACTGTATCTCGGTAAGTACTGATCAGAATTTTTTTTTGTTTTATTACCTTCACACAAATATACTCTTTAATTCTGTAAGATTTTTTTTTTTTTTTTTTTTTTTTTTTTTTTTTTTTTTTTTTTTTTTTTTTTCAAAAATTTTTTAGACACTGGGGCACCACTTCAGATTTTGGCCTTGGACCCTGAAAGGGTTAAATTTCAATCCCATACCCATCATATAGCCAAGAGAATTTCAAAATCAGTAGGAATCCTTTCCAAGATACGATACTATGTACCACAAATGACTCTCCTTACCCCGTGCCACTCTATATCCTTACCTCACCTATGGTATTTGTGCCTGGGGCTCAACCACAGCCAACCACCTTAGACCCTTAACCCTTTGACTGTTGCAGGCCCCTTTCTGAAACTGTCATTCTATGTCGATAAATTTTTGGAAAAAAAAAAAAATATTTTTTCTTACGAAATGATAGAAAATCTTTTCCCGATGGCAATGACACCAAAAGTATGAAATTTGGTCGATAACTCACATAATTATGCTCCCGCGAAGTTAGCGCTCTTGGCGACATATATGTATTGGCGATTTAGCCGACTTTGAGCCCTGTTTTTAGCCAATTCCATTGTTCTAGTTGACCAAACTCATAGCTATTTCTTTAGAACTCCATTTTATCTATCAGTTGAGTACAAGAAACTGCCCATTTACCGATATGAACTACCCAATAAAGTACTCAGAAATTGGCAATTTGGCTAATTTCACACAAATTAAAAAAGATGCCAATTTCAAAATAGGGTCCAGAATAAACAATGTAGACATTCTTGGCACTCAAATAACATATCCTCTGTTCATTAGTCACGTCTCTAGGCCCCTCTTATATTACTATTGCTTTCTATTTTGATTTTTTATTCATACAAAAAAATACAAAATTTACTGGTATGCAGACTACTGCATTGTTGTAAAAATGGTATAAATAATATAAGTGTACTACTGAGAGCATATTAGACTTCCCAGTTGATGTGTATTGGACATGTGGTGTGATTTGCTTACTCCTGAACATTGGTAAAAATCGAACATTTCCACTACTTTGAGCTCAATTTCAAGGTCGTTTTCATCGTGAAAGTAATCAAAATCATCTCTATTTCTGTAATATGTTTTCCATTTTATCACTTGAGACCATGAAAACGAGAATACAATGATAAATACTATAGGAAAATACACCTCAGTCGGCGTTTTAATCCAAAAAAACGGTCAGTTTTTTTTTCTCATTACGCACTGCATGCTGCAGGACTTTTTTATGTGGTGCATACTGGCCACACAGACCCATTCTCTCACATGTGGGCCTACCAGCTTTCTCCCGCTTGATTTGAAGCCGCTAGAATTTTCGCATATTAATACGTCAGAAACAGTGGCACGTAAGACATATATATACGACGTAAACAGTCAAAGGGTTAATAATCCAACAAAAAGTTGCTGTGCAGGTGATGACCAGCTCCTGTGCTAGACAGCACACCCCACCACTTTTCAAGACTCAACTTGCTAAATATACAAGACATACGCTTTTTTTATTGTTCCTACTACATATACAGAACATTAAACTCCACTGTAAACCCTCCCCTAAAACTACTCCTTGACAGTTACAACAGAATGCACAGCTACAATACAAGGCATAAGGCACTTTCCAACATCCCTCGAGTCAGTCTCTCACTATGCAAGAATGTTATGCACATAAAAGGCCTGAAGATCTGGAACTCGCTACCGGAACAGGTCAAGGATCCCCTGACAGCTTATAAAGTTAGGGCTTTGCTAAAAAATCATCTTAACTCAAAATATTAACCAAATCAACCAAAACATCTGCTAACTAGTTTTTATTATGTGACCTCTAGGCTCTTAATTCTGCCAATCCATAAAATCATCGTATTTCTCAATACTAACCAAATTGGCCAAAACATCTGCTGATTAGTTTCATTATGTGAACTCCTGGCTTTTAATTCT